GACTTGACCCATGACGATCAACTGTGACTAGACTTGACCCATGACGATCAACTGTGACTAGACTTGACTCATGATAATGAATTGTAACTTGACTTGACTCATGACGATCAACTGTGACTTGACTAGACTCATAACTATCAACTGTGACTTGACTAGACTCATAACTATCAACTGTGACTTGACTAGACTCATAACTATCAACTGTGACTTGACTAGACTCATAACTATCAACTGTGACTTGATTTGACTCGTGATGATCAACTGTGACTGGACTAGACTCATGAAGATCAGCTGTGACTTGACGGAGCGCTGTTGTGTCCGCCATTTTGTGATCAGGCTCCTCTGTCGCCGCCATCTTGTGAGCATGCTCTGATACAGTCATTATTTCAGTCACAGACATGGTGTCGCTTCCTTCCTCCGCGACACCCACCGTGAACGCTGAACCAGCAGTCAGCAAGGCATAGTCTATAAAGTCCTTTAAGCTACAGTTAAATTTACTCTTTGGCATCCAAGATTTCGTGGGTTCATCGAGTCCAAAACGGAACAAGTCTTTAAATAAAATTTCATCATATAGGGGTACCTGGTAAGATAGTTCACAGAACCGGTGAACATACTCCTCAATCGAACGACCTCCCTGCCGAAGATGTAGTAGCTCGGTGACTGGGTCCATACCAGGCCAGAGTCCACTGAAAAAGCCGCTGGATCCTTGTGTGGCTGAGTATTCTGTTACGGGGCTGACGAGACGTGAGACTTGTGGATCCATATGCAAGCTTTATTTAGCAGAAGACAGAGACGTGGTCATCACAGGCAGGGTCAAACACTGGCAAACAGGTATATGGCGGGCAAAACACAAGAATAGTCACAGGACTAGCGTAGGTCACCGATGAGCAGACAGAATCACAGGGGCGAGACGAGAGGGGGAAATCCAAGAAAACAGGCAAAGATCAAAAACAGGCAAGGCAAGGCAAAACAAGGAAAACACGGAGACTCGGAAAGGGGTACAGGCTAAACAATACTCAGCAGAGAAATGTGGTTAGAGTGGGTGTTATATAGTGAATGAGGTAATTAGAAACAGCTGTGTGCAATGAGTGCAATCAGGGCAGTGTGCAAATTGTGCAAAGCATGATGGGAAATGTAGTCCGGGGTGCTATGCAACAGTTTGTGTAGTGCGAGAGTCAATGAAATGGAAAGGGTGACCTCTGGTGGTGAATAAACAGAAGTCCATGGACTGAATTCGTGACACCATTAATGTGGATACTTCTGAAAATGGCATTATTTAAATTTAAATGCCCTCATGTTTTGTTGTGGGACAGCAATTGCGAGTACATTTTCAATCATTTTTGTAGGACTGTGATATGAAAAGGGAGAAAAGCAATGTACCCTTAGAAACCATGTGGATGTTTTTAACTAAAAGACTACTTCACCTTAGAAACCATGTGGGTGTTTTTAACTAAAAGAGGTTTAATTTTCTTTTGAAGGATGGTTCATAAAAGACAGCAATGTTTCAGTAAAATCATTGCATGATAAACATAATGTCTTGAGTTAAATAAGACCTTTACTAATGTACACTTACTGTTTCTTACAGAAGACTTTGGCATTCCTCATCACATGGCTCAAGCACCGATGAAGAATTGGTACCTTCATTTTCTCATCCTTCAACTTCCCAGTGACAATGTCATAATAGACTTGGAGCAACTGGCCAAGAGATACTCTACAAAAACTACAGGCAACAGCCTGAAGTAAAACAAGGGACCCATCACACATAATGAGTACTGGTCTCCCCTGTGATGTTTTTCCAAACAAACGATAATAATCGGTTTGAAATGACAGTAGAAAGTACATCACAGATGAGGTGGTGTGGTCACAAGTTACATAAGTTGCCACAGGGACTGGAGAGGCACCCTTCTTAGGATGCCTTACAACAAGCTCATAAACATAAAATGGGGCTGATCTTCCTTTACCCTTCTGTATGATGCTCCCTGTGGCATCGATGTAAACAACATCAGTTTTACATCGCTGGTGGAATAGACGGATGGAATCTTGTGACCACAGCATCACTCCTCGGGGATGCAAGATAACTTTCTGAAGAACTTTCTCTGAATCGGTTCTCTCCTCTACCATCTTCTGAAGACTGAGTACTTCATTATGATGACGGCGAGCTTTTTTCCTGCTGGTCCATGCTATGTTTTTAAGCACTGCAGGTGTAGGGGAGGTATCCCGACATCCCGACTCGAACACTGTGCTTTCTATGTTTTCGAGATTTTGCAAGTATAGGGCCCTTGGGAGTGTGGACTGTAATTGCTTGGCCAAATTTTTCCTTTCATCAGCTCGCACGTGTCGTCTTCTCAGTTCTTCTAGACTGTGGCACACTTCATCACCCTGAAATGTGACGATTGCTTTCAGGGTACTTTCGTGTGATATGGTGACTTCAACACAGACAGGGCAGTCTGCAAACGTACAGTACCCCAAGCAGTGGAAAAGGGGTCCCTTTCGTTTAGATCCCTTGATCGTCACATGGTGTCTTTTGAAGGCAATACTGCAGTAGGGGTGTACTGACTGTATGCCTTTTGAAATGACATTTGTCCACTGAAGATCTGTGAATTGATACTGCTTTTGCCTTTTCCTTAGGTCTCTCCAGATTTCTCTGTTCATAAAAAAAAAACAAGGATGCCTTGGCAATTTGTGTCGGAAAAAGAGTTCATCATTACTGACATTATTGTCTTCCGATGTTGTGTCAGTATGTGTGCCCATGTCCTGTGAAAGAAAAGTTAGATTTTTATTGAAAATAATTTTATTTTATTGAAAATAATTTTATAATATCTGCTTTACTGTTCATCTTAAAGATCTATGCTAAAGTAAGGGAGGACAAATATTTTAATCTCAATAAATGTAATGCAAAATACAGTAACTGTAAACATGTAAACAGTAGTTGTGTTGTGTATTTAAATGTAATTTCTCAAAGACAATAAACATTTGCAGTACGTTAAGTTGCAGATATGTTATAAATAATTTTCGGTAATGAAAGCAAAAGTGTCTTTCTAGAATTACAAAGGGGGCATAGTTTGGTGGTTGACTAAGGACTTTTAAGACGTTGGCGCACAAACATTCTAACTAACTGTTTAAGCCACAGGAGCATTGACCTTGACTGAAGGAGAAATGCACTTCAATTTATTGCCTTCGACACTATACAAATAACTTTGAGATGACTGGGCAGGGCTATCCAGTGAAAAGTTCTCAATAATATAAAACAGGTGATGAATCAAAAAAAAAAAAGATTGAATATATAATTAATAGTCACAACTGTATAAGCAACAAAGAGCACATCCTCAAAAGCATGTGAATTTTGTGCAGAAGTAATAACCTTTGGAGATGGGGCAACAGACTCTCTACTGTCACTGTCAGCATGGCTGCCTTGTAGTTCAAAAGGTGTAACTGGAAAAGTGTTTTGGAAAATCTAAATCGGAAAAAATGACTGATGAGAATCTACTTGCTTAGGGCCCAATGCACTTAAAATGAAATGTAGCATTATTACGGCACAAACCTTCTGTGAGGGTGAACTCGAAATCACAATGTCTCCTTCTTCAATCAAATCACTTTGCGATGCCAGTGCAGGGCTGTCCAGATGTGACCTCTACATAATATACAGTATTGTGCAAATGACAGATGATGAATCAAAATAGAAATATCAGATAGCACATATTCACAGGAATATGACAAACAATCTGAATACATCCTCAAAAGCATAATTTTGAGCAGACACCCCACGAGCACCACGCTGAGACGGGCACCGAGCACCATTCATCCGAGCACGTGTGATCAGTGTGTGGGCAATAAATCACCCTCCGGGGCTCTTTCGATCAGTACTGAGTCTGTGTTCTCATTCACCCCGCGACTAATATATATATATATATACGCACATACTTGCATAGAAATACACACACATTTACCTGCAAGCTTGCAAGACATGCATTCTTAAGCCAAATCCTGTTGGTAGTGGTATTCGGAATTTGCAAGTCTTTGCAAAGATTCCCCCAAGTGCCACTGGATGGATATGCACTTTCATGTGTTCTTTGGCCATATGGTTGTAAAGCATTTTGAATGTCATTGAATGTTAGCTCTATTTTACGTTGCTGGATGTGGGCAGAAAAAGCAACAATTATATACAGGAGCAACTATTCGAACATTTTGGCTACTTTCACAAAATGAATTACTTTCATGGCATTACACAAGTTAAAAAGAGGACACGCATGTGAACTTCTGGAGAACTGACTTAATACATTTATGAAATGAGTGAATGTATCACAGTTTGTTAAAAATAACTGAAAGACTACCTCGGGGCAAAAAACACACTTGATTCATAGAAACACTCCAGCTTAATTTGTTTACACATACTAATTAGTTTGATATTTTGTTTATAAAGCTGTGCAATGCATACATTTTAAAGTAAGTGTTGAAAAGTATGTACATAGTGTTCGTGGTCACTACTACTAAAAATACCAAATGTATGCTTACCTTTCCAAATGTGGGAAAGAAATATGTTCTGTGAATGCGAAAAACAACATTATCATTATTGCAACCTACAACATGTAATTTCCTGAGGTGGCATTATTGTTGCCTCACAAGAACAATTACTAACACAAAGTAAGCATTATATAATAATTAATTACGTATTACAACACAAATTGACTATTACAAAACAAGAAATATATATGTTATAATACACAATCTATTAAAAAAAGTTGCAGAAATATGTGTAATTAATATAAAAACTTTATGATCATTACTGTTATTGATAGACTTATTATAAATAATACAATAAATAATAATACATCAATTCTAAATAACAATGTAATTAATAAAATGTATATTTTAAAATGTAATATTTATAATGAATAATAATTCATACAATTTAATTAATTTAGAATGAATCATAATTACTACAATTCTCAAAAGCTCTCCGTGCACGGTGTATATGACTTTTACCACATTTCCTGAGTTTCCTGATTTAATTTCTTTGACTCCTGGTTAATTTAGTGCGCTCTGTGTCTGCATACATCTACATAATAATTGTCACTACATAGGGACTAGTGAATTAGTAAATGAGTTAACATGTGAGCGACTACAGACATAGAGTCAAATAACAAAATCACAAAAATGCTATATACACAAAACACTACCCTAAATAAACTAGTAAATAATTAATTAAATTATAGTAATAACATTTATAATATCAGTTATTATTAGCAGTAATAGTAGTAATAGTAGTAGTAGTTACAGTTGTAGTAGTTGTTTCAGGTTGTGTAATGTAACAGTGCACAAGCAATACGAGCTACAACGTGATGTCAAACGTTTGTAATTAAATAAGTTTTTTTGCTATGATTATAACAGTAATCAATTAATTATATACAGTAAATAAAAAATAATAATTATTAAGATGTCACTTTATTTAGTTATTATTTTCTTTATTTCTTTCTTTATTATTATTCTTATTCTTTTTTATTGAAGAATAGTTGGTTTTGTTTGTTTGTTAATGTTGTTTACTAACAATACAGCAACATAAGGCTGTGAACTGATCGCAAAATAGGCTGTAAATTAACAAATCCCACCCTTATCTCCGTGCGCTGTCCCTTCAGCACCACACATCGCATATTTTCCTGCGCTTGTGAATCTCCTCAGAATTTAACATAAGACATACCAATCGATTTTAAATCATAAATGAAACATAAAAACAAAGTTCACGGACAACACAAGTATTCTTTTTGAATATGTGACCTGAATAAATGCTCTTTTGCTCCATTGGTGTTTCTTGAGGGGGGAAAAAATGCACTGTTTACTCTCAACTTTTCTGTCACATATTAATTGATCCATATTCAGTGTTTAGCGGGGAACGACAAGTCTAAACATTAGTCGGTCGTTGTCAGATATAAATGTGATGTCCTGATATCTAAATGTAGCCTATTTATGCAACTTTTCATAGCGTAAAGAATTATAACTTACCTTTTTCTGCGGGAAGTCATGATGCCATTAAGTAATAATTATGAACAATGACATGCCTCGTACGTCACAAAATATTCAAATGACATATAAATAATAATATTCATATTTTGTGTTATTTCTTCTTTTAACTTTTAAAAATAAAACTCTTGTAAATAACTAAAATATAACAATTGTAATTTTAAAGATACAAATATAATTTTAGAAGAACAATATTTATTGGATCAAATAGAGAGTAGGCTACATAGTTAACCATGCTGTAACATGTGTGCACATGTATTACTTACAATGATGTCTTTGTAAAAACATTTATACAGTAAAAGGGGCTTAATTGCACATTGTATCACATTATTTTTCCAAAAATGTATATTAAATGCATGCAAAAATTATCGATCACATTCTCTTAAAGAGTTAGTGTATACTGTCCATATAAAATGCATAGGTTTATGGACTGTTAGTCCATAAAGATCCCTTACAATAGCTGTCCATTTTGTATTTTATTTATTGTTGTGTTAACTTTTAAAAAACTTTTCTCATACTTACTAGAGATGAGGTCTTTATGGGACCCTAAATTGGAATGATCTTGTATATCTTTGAAACACTACAGCAAAATATTTTCATATGTGGTGTGCCTATGGAATAGAACGTTACCTATTAGAAGTGACCATACTTATTTGTACTTATTAGAAATAGGGCCTTTGTAGCCCTCTAAAGTGTAAAAGCATCCCAGTTCTCGAAAATGCTGCAGTAAAATGGTTTGATATGAGGTGTGCATATAGTATGGCATGTCCGTTATAAGAACTGACCATTGTTTTTTTTCTACTTATTAGAAATGTGGTCTTTATACCCTTCTAAAGTGTAATAATGTACGATATCTCCAAAATGCTTCAGTAAAATGGTTTGATATGAGGTGTGCATAAAGACGAAACCAGCACTTAATTTCCAGTTAAATTCCAAACGCAGCTATGTCAGATTGAGTAAAGGACTTATTGTG